CCCCTACCCGAAGAATTGTATGACAGAAACTCTTCACGCAAACCACTTAGATTAGACAAAATTGCCTTTTTATTCAATGTTTACTCGAGAATCAATGACGTCATATTACTGTGTGCACTCTCCGACTTGAGATTATTTTCTACTATATGACGTAATACTTCGTTTTCGTTTCACTGTGAGAGTTTTTAAATTCCTTGTGTTTTCTCTAGAGCGTTCTTGTCAGACAGATAGATAGATAGATAGATACATAGATACACAGACAGCGAAACTATTATTATAGATATTTCTGAAATCAGTAGGCAGTCTTATCCAACTATTCCGCACTATTATACGCGCGTTATCAAATTCATTAGGTGTAGCTTTTAGTCATACACTCTATTAAAAATTTTAAAGTACTGAAAAAATTATTTAAAAATGCATTTTAATTACAAGCTTTATTGTAATAATGCACTAAAAAGGAGAAAATAAATAATTTTCTTTAAATATATTATATTATTCTATTATTTAAAAAACTATAAAGAAAAGCGAGGGTCGCTTCCTAAAAATTAGTAAAAGTATACCATCCATACAGTGGCGTAGCGAGGTCGGGTGTCACGCGGTGCAGCACTTAATGATGTCATCCCCCCCCCCCCCCCCAGAGGCGTAGCGACTCTTCCCGGGGACAAACTTTCAATTTCAAATTTACACCCCCCCCCCCCTCTCAAACTTTCGAATTGCACCCCCCCCCCCCCCCTCTCGAACTTTCGATTTGCACCACCCCCCCCCTCAAATTTTTCTCTATATATTTTACTTTTTTGCCCTGGTGTCACCCCCTAAATGGTGTCACCCGGTGCGGTCCGCACCCCCGCCCCCCCCCCCTCCCATCGCTACGCCTCTGCATCCATATTATAGCGACCCACGCTATATCCATTTTACTTGTCATCGACTCGGAAAAACTGTACTTAACAATTTTGTCTCTGTGTGTCTGTGTGTCTGTCTGTCTGTATGTATGTCTGCCTGTCTGTCTGTCTGCCTGTCTGTCTCTCTGTCTCTCTGAGATTTCTTCCAGGCATCTCTTCGGGGGGGGGGGGGGGCAAAGCCCCCCCCCCCGAAAAAATTGTAACGCCCCCCCCCCCCCCGAACGAAATGAAATTTATATAATTTATATACAAAATATATACTTTTAACAGTGTCCGCCCCCCCCCCCCCCCGAAGAAAGTTTACCGCCCCCCCGAAAATTTCAAGTGCCCCCCCGGAGAAAAAAGTCTGGAAGAAACACTGGTCTCTCTGTCTCTCTGTCTGTCTCTCTGTCTGTCTCTCTCTCTCTCTCTCTCTGTCTGTCTGTCTGTCTGTCTGTCACAAAAAGTAAACAGAGATCGTTAACTAAATGAAAGCTTATAAAAAAAAAATTCATAAAAAACGTTTTAATAACAAGCTTTTATGTAATGATGCACTAAAAAGTAGAAAATAAATTATAGACTACTATTTAAATAACTATAAAGAAAAGCGTGGGTCACTTTAGTATCTATTGGATACCTTTACTAATGTTAAGGAAGACACCCACGCTTTTCTTTATAGTTATTTAAATAGTAGTCTATAATTTATTTTCTACTTTTTAGTGCATCATTACATAAAAGCTTGTTATTAAAACGTTTTTTATGAATTTTTTTTTTCAGTACTTTACATGTTTTATCTACAATAGAGTTACATGACTAAAAACCATTGCGCGCCTACTGAATATCACGTTCAGTAGGCGCGCAATGGTTTTTGAACGCAGCCATTACGTGGTCGTGATGGCGCAGCTATTGATGACGCGTGTGGTGTGGTTGGCTAGACATGCCTACTAATTCGGTCCAAATTTTAATTAATTCATAAAAAATCAATTAGGCATCCAATTAAGTCAAATTTAGTTTCAGATTGCATTGTCTTCATCTCTTGACCCACGTGCCAAATGTGAATCGTATCGGTCAAGTAGAACTGTCCGAATTTTCACTCCTGCGTTTCCGTCTAGACTGACGACTGACGACAGACAGACTGACGAGGAAGTGAGTTAAATAAAAGCTTGTAAAAACACATAAACATACACTGTACATTGAATAAAAGCTTATAAAAACACATAAACATACACTGTACATTGAATAAAAGCTTATAAAAACACATAAACATACACTGTACATTGAATAAAAGCTTATAAAAACACATAAACATACACTGTACATTGAATAAAAGCTTATAAAAACACATAAACATACACTGTACATTGAATAAAAGCTTATAAAAACACATAAACATACACTGTACATTGAATAAAAGCTTATAACAAACAGGGCTTGTGAACTAAATAAAATATTGTAGAAATCAATCGGATTTCATGCGTGGCATACGAATGTACAGAAACCCAAGCGGAATAAAAATGGTTAAGTGTGGATGTGGAAATAACGTCTTCCATCTAGAACCCTCCAACCCTAAAATTATTGCTAACCTTAGCCTTAGCTCTAACCTTAACTATAACCCTCATCATAACCATTCCCTTAAATCAAAATCCTATCCCAAATTCTTTGCTATTGATGTAACACTATAACTAATCATAACTTTGAATTATTAGCGCAATTTCCATTCTGGAGAATTGCGTTTATTAACTCGTCTTTTCTGGGAATGGATGAATGGGTGGATGGATGGATGTGTGTCCGCAGCTTTAAGTCGTATCTCCTCCTCAACAAAGCAATATCGAGGACTAGTTCCAAAGCAAATATGTTAAGCAAGTTACCAGGATGAACATAGGCCAAAAAAAAAATTCATAAAAAACGTTTTAATAACAAGCTTTTATGTAACGATGCACTAAAAAGTAGAAAATAAATTATAGACTACTATTTAAATAACTATAAAGAAAAGCGTGGGTCACTTTAGTATCTATTGGATACCTTTACTAATGTTAAGGAAGACACCCACGCTTTTCTTTATAGTTATTTAAATAGTAGTCTATAATTTATTTTCTACTTTTTAGTGCATCGTTACATAAAAGCTTGTTATTAAAACGTTTTTTATGAATTTTTTTTTCAGTACTTTACATGTTTTATCTACAATAGAGTTACATGACTAAAAACCATTGCGCGCCTACTGAATATCACGTTCAGTAGGCGCGCAATGGTTTTTGAACGCAGCCATTACGTGGTCGTGATGGCGCAGCTATTGATGACGCGTGTGGTGTGGTTGGCTAGACATGCCTACTAATTCGGTCCAAATTTTAATTAATTCATAAAAAATCAATTAGGCATCCAATTAAGTCAAATTTAGTTTCAGATTGCATTGTCTTCATCTCTTGACCCACGTGCCAAATGTGAATCGTATCGGTCAAGTAGAACTGTCCGAATTTTCACTCCTGCGTTTCCGTCTAGACTGACGACTGACGACAGACAGAATGACGAGGAAGTGAGTTAAATAAAAGCTTGTAAAAATTCCGGGTTTCTTTCATGGATTTCCCGGAAACGCCAAAAAACCTCGAAAAAATGCAGTTTTTGGCCCATATCTCGGCAAAAATGCAGTTTTGGCCCATATCTCGGCAACTAGACCACTTAGCGACTTGAAACATGTACCGATCGATTCCTGCCATAATTTAGAACAATATTGCCGAAGAAAGTTTTCAAAAATATCCTTCCGTTCGGTCAAAAAAAAAATTGAATTAATTAAAATTTGGACCGAATTAGTAGGCATTTTATTCAACCACACCACACGCGTCATCACGTTCAATAGCTGCGCCATCACGTTCGGTAGCTAGGCGCGCAATGGTTTTTAGTCATGTTACTCTATTGTAAATAAAACATGTAAAATACTGAAAAAAATTAATAAAAAACGTTTTAATAACTAACCAATGGTTTTACTAACCCTGCTCTTGATTTACGCTACGACAGAGCTATTTTTAGATAACATAAGGAAATTGCGCTAAAATTGTCACTAGACTTTTTTTAATTACTTGTTGTTATTATGGTTCTCTCGAAGAATTCGAAATCGCCTCTCGATTAACGTACACATTAAAATACTAGCTGCATACCCGTGCTCCGCCACGGTAAATCTTTTTTAAATTTACCAACTTGGGAACAGAACAAAACTAAACACAACCACAACGCAAACACAACACAAACACAACACAAACACAAACACAAACACAACACAACACAAACACAACACAAACACAACACCAACACAAACACAACACAAACACAACACTAACACAAACACAACACAAACAAAACACAAACACAACGCAAACACAATACAAACACAATACAATACAAACACAATACAAACACAACACAAACACAATACAAACACAACACAAAAACAACACAAACACAACACAAACACAACACAAACACAACGCAAACACAATACAAACACAACACAATACAAACACAATACAAACACAACACAAACACAACACAAACACAACACAAATACAACACAAACACAACACAAACACAACACAAAAACAACTTAAACACAATACAAACACAACACAAACACAACACAAACACACACAAAAAACACAAACACAAAAGAAAACACAAACACAAAGCAAATACAATCGATTAGAGAACTAGTTATAGAGCACCAACCCATAAATAACTAGTTACAGAGAGCGCCAACCCTGTCATAACTAGTTATAGAGAGCGCAAACCTTGTCTAACCGTGTTTAACTTGGGATTAAATTGTCTAGGCGACTATGCGCTTTTTATGAATGTAATGACATTCAATTTCTCTGGACGTGGTGGGTGTCGAACACCAGCTTGATTATTTATCTTGATTATCCAGCCTGATTATCCAGCCTGATTATCCATCATCCGCTACAAGAAAACATCAAATTCTAAGTCGAATCTTGCAGTACGTGCACAAGTTGGGCTACTTCTGATCCAACTGTCGACCCAGATAGGGCCCCAAGGCGAAAAGCTGACAACTTTCTCCATTGGCTTGGGTTGACGTATGGTTGAGGCGATTTGTTGAGCAGGAAGTTCAGACCTGAGCTAGTCATCATTAGGTGTGGGCCAACGGTTGTGTGGGTCAGGGAGCTTCTAGTTGGGTAAGTCGGCAGGTCGAACGATTTTAGTTTACTGTGAAATTACAAGGGTCTAACTATTTTAGTTTACTGTGATATTACTTGAGCCTAACTAGTTTAGTTTACTGTGATATTACTTGAGTCTAACTATGCTAGTTTAATGTGAAATTACTAGGGTCTAACCATCGCTAGTTTAATGTGAAATAACTAGGGTCTAGCCATCGCTAGTTTAATGTGAAATAACTAGGATCTAGCCATCACTAGTTCACTGTAAAATCACGTGACTAGTTCACTGTAAAAGCACGTGACTAGTTCGCTGTAAAATCACGTGCTTACTTATTTTGATTTAAAATTTAGCACATGTGATTATAAATAAGCGTATAAATAATTACCCTCCGCTTCTTTTGTAATATGATGTTATGCTTTCGTCTAAATGTTTACTATTATTGATGTTATTCTTTCGTCTAAATGTTTACTATTATTGATGTTATTCTTTCGTCTAAATGTTTACTATTATTGATGATATACTTTCGTCTAAATGTTTACTATTATTGGATAAGGTAAAGATGGGTAGGGCATGGTGCCTACCACACCATCCATTCATATGCCGCGGTCTGCCCATTGGGTCGGAAGGTCAAAGCGAAATCTGATATTTTTTCTTTCCTTTTGATACAGCGATTCTTCTTTTTAATTCAAACTTAGCCCGGTCACCATGAAGCAGGCGAGATTGTCTTTTCAAAATCCAAATAAACGAGAAATAAGTTGTTTTTTTTTTAATTTATTTTAAATACTCAAGTGTAAAGTTACTCTCATTGCCCCACCCCCCACCCCCTACCTTCTCGTCAAACAAAAACGACGACCCCTATGGCCGTGGTAATCATATATTATTAATTACACCTTAATTTCATCGTCTAGGATTCATCCATCAAATTGACAGTTTGAGAATTTACATACCTTTAAAGTCCACTTGTGTGATTTATTCTGTAGTGGTCATCAGTTTAAAAGAAATTACCTGTACAGTAAAATACTACATTCAACTGTGAATAATGATCGACTACACAGTGGTCTACTACAAAATAATAATACAAAAAGTAATTTTATTTTTTTAAATGTAAAAAGAAATGTAAAAGTATAACAAACTAATATATTACCTAGTGAACTGCTAATATGGAACATATTAGACAGTGTTCTAACTAGGTCAATCAGTTTCGTTCTTTAAATAGCAATTTTTTATTTCTGAGATTATCATTAATTTTTTCCGGTGATGGGAGACAATTAAGGTGAATTACTTAACGGAGGAAAACAGTGAAACAGACGTCTTTTAAATCGAGTTAATTTAGGGGCCCATAGCCGACCATAATTTAAAAAATGTATAGTTAAAAAAAGTAAATTTTCTTTCATTTTTGACTTGATGGTTGTTTTGTAAAAAATTACCGTAGCTGCGGTTGAATTATCTTTATTCTATAGACACCACCCCACGCTCTTGTATCTTCTTTTTTCCTTTTTCAACTGTGAAAGCCGAGTCTTTCTCCTACAATTAAACTTATCAAAGATAAGCAAATGTTCAAACCACTACCATGACTTATTTCCCTTTTTCTTAAAATAGTCAAATAAGGGTGATCATAAGCTCCTTTTAATAGATTTATACTAAACAAATTAAAAAGCATTTACTTCTCTTAATTATTATTTTTTTATAAGTAATTACTAAAGAATTATATTGTATAAAAAGGAAGTTTTATTGAAATGTATTAAATCAATAATATTTAAAACATTAATAATATAACTACAAAAAAACACATGAAAAAAAAAAACATAACACGAGACACCAATCCTTATAAAAAGCTTTCATGTTTTTATTATTTTGACCGACATGATGCTCAGAGGGCGTCTATCAAAAATTAATTAAAACTGATTTCACAAAGTAATGCACTTACACACATGACATGATGTTGAAACATTTTTTAATTGATGTTTTTCAAATCCCGAACAGGCCAGCAACGAATATCCTATGTTCGTATTTTGTGATTGTATATATATATATATATATATATATATATATATATATATATATATATATATATATATATATATATATATATATATATATATATATATATATATATATAAATTTTGCGGGGTGGCCCTTTTTTCTAGTTCCGCCACTGAACATTTGCTAGCAACTGTTTATAAATCTATAACCGAATCCTACACGAATTAGACAGTATTGAAACACTATTTATAAATTACTTTTCTTTGTTTTTTACTAGGCTAAAAGCAGACTGTGTTGTACTTTTAAAAGGAAGGAAAATTTTAACTTTCTATAAGAAGCTTGTGAAAGTTTTTATCCAGTACAATAACAGAATGAAAGCTGCGATCAGCTGTAGATAGCACCAATTAAGACATGCCCTCCAGGAAGAAAAAAACACAAATTTCATCTCTCTCTTTCCTCACTTCCTCTGAAAGAGTAGAGAACTTGAATGTGCCATATCAGCCAACGCCCACCCTTGGGCTGGGTGACGTCATCTACGAGAACGTGACAGCAGAGGACGAGGAGATGACCCAAGTGGGAGAATCTCTTGGAGGGTCGGTCACTTCAGATCCCATCAGCAGTGCTATCGTTAGACCGTCCTCAGCTGGCAGGAAGCCTGACACCCCCTCCACCCTAACCGTGCCGGCCATTGGGATGTACCCCGCCCTAACAGAGACCCTGGCGCTGACTACACCAGAGAGCCTGCCCTACTCTAGACCTCCCAGGAAACAAGCGACAAAACGGAGTCAAAGAGACGGCTCCAGCACACCTATGGAGCTTGACCTGGGCCTGCCCCCAGCCCTACCGTCCAGAAAGAGGCGGGAGAGCGGCGTGTCTCTCCTCCTAGACCCCACGGAGACGGCTGTAGTGTACGACACGCTGCCCTGCCTCAGGTCACGTGATGTCTCCGGCACAAGGTCTTCGTCAGCAAGCTCCATTGATGGCTCCAGGTCCATTAGCTCCAAGACACTTCGTATGAAGGCACTTTTGTAAGTAGGCCATTTTTACACATTTTTGTATGAAGGCATTTTTGTAAGTAGGCCATTTTTACACATTTTTGTATGAAGGCACTTTTGTAAGTAGGCCATTTTTACACATTGTTGTATGAAGGCACTTTTGTAAGTAGGCCATTTTTACACATTGTTGTATGAAGGCATTTTTGTAAGTAGGCCATTTTTTCACATTTTTGTGTGAAGGCACTTTTGTTAGTAGGCCATTTTTACACATTTTTGTGTGAAGGCACTTTTGTAAGTAGGCCATTTTTACACATTTTTGTATGAAGGCACTTTTGTAAGTAGGCCATTTTTACACATTTTTGTATGAAGGCACTTTTGTAAGTAGGCCATTTTTTCACATTTTTGTGTGAAGGCACTTTTGTTAGTAGGCCATTTTTACACATTTTTGTGTGAAGGCACTTTTGTAAGTAGGCCATTTTTACACATTTTTGTGTGAAGGCACTTTTGTAAGTGGGCCATTTTTACACATTTTTGTATGAAGGTACTTTTGTAATTACACTATTTTACACATATTTGAATTAAGGCACTTTGTAAATAGGCCACTTTCTATACTTTGTATAACGTGTAAACTTCATTCAAAAAGAATGACTAAAAACTGGAAAGTAAAACAAAAACACATAATAAAACTTTACAATAACGAACTTTTAAATGCACTGAATAAAATAAAACTAATATGGGCGCCAAAAGTCGCAGTAGATTTCACGAGCAACTATAACTTTGATTAAAGAAAGCAAATTAGTTTTCTAATTTTCCAGCTTATTATTATAAATGTTTTTATATTTGTTTTTTTAACATCTAAAAGAAACTCTGATTGCGTACTAAAAATAAAGGAAATAAATGATTTTCTTTAAATATAATAATGAACTACAATTTAAATAACTAAAAATAAAACTGTGGGTTGCTATAATACGTATTGAATACATTTACTACAGTTTAAGAAGCGACCCATGAGTAATGCGCGTTTACGGTACATAGTACTTTATATAGGAAAATTACCATTAATTTTTTTAAATTAATTAAGCATCCAAGTAAGTCAGATTTGATGTCTGATTGTGCATTGGGCCTTAACCCACGGACTAAGTTTGAAACAAATTGGTCCATGAGAAGTAGTCGAAATTTTGCTCGCCACTCTCGAACTAAGACGGAGCACAACAAAAGGGAGACAAGAACGACAGAGGAAGCAAGTTAAATAATAAAAGCTGGCAAATCACAGAAATTGTTATAAAATTGTGCTTCTCAAAGGCTTGAATGATAGAATATTGAAGAAACGTCTTCCACATTGAAGTGAATAATATATTTGTGTAGCACTGTATACCAGAGAAGTACTTAGCTTAGGGCCAGAAGTACTTATCTTAGTGCCAGATATATTTATCTTAGTGCCAGAAGTACTTATCTTAGTGCCAGAAATATTTATCTTAGTGCGAGAAGTACTTATCTTAGTGCCAGAAATATTTATCTTAGTGCGAGAAGTACTTAACTTAGTGCCAGAAGTAGTTATCTTAATGCCAGAAGTACTTATCTTAATGCCAGAAGTACTTATCTTAGTGCCAGATATATTTATCTTAGTGCCAGAAGTACTTAGTTTAGTGCCAGGACTACTTAACGTAGTGCCAGAAGTACTTTTCTTAATGCCAGAAGTACTTATCTTAGTGCCAGATATATTTATCTTAGTGCCAGAAGTACTTAGCTTAGTGCCAAAAGTACTTAGTTTAGTGCCAAAAGTACTTAGCTTAGTGCCAGGAGTTCTTAGTTTAGTGTTAGTAGTAGCTTTCTCAATGCGAGATGGCATCTTGTACCCTCGGCAGCCCATCAGATGGGGTGTCTAAGAAACAGGTGTAGGGCGAGGCCAATGGGAATGTTTTCGATTTGCATGCGCTGATAGCATCCACCAACCTTGGCACGGCGCGGCCTGATCTAGGTCAGGTTTACCTACAATCCCACGTCGGTCTGCAGCGTGGTTTGGTTTCCAGTTCTATTCTGGACATGATTTTGATCTTGTAAATCGGCCCTGTAAATCGGCCGTGTAAATCGGCCGTGTAAATCGGCCGTGTAAATCGATCCTTTCACTGAGGACTGGACTATGTGTGTCTTGTGATGCAGAGAACCAGCTGGTAAGTTTTCCTTCACGTCTACGCGGGTCTAGTCAGTTAAGTGTGCAGGTCATGCGCAGGTCAGGCCAAAATACTCAACACCACGCGCAGGCACTGATCGAACAGCATACGCACTATCACTGATTATATATATATATATATATATATATATATATATATATATATATATATATATATATATATATATATATATATATATATATATATATATATATATAAAATTAGATACATGCACTTGCTTCGCTAAGATGTGAAAATTTGAAATGTACTATTAGAAGGACATACAGGCAGAAAACATATTGAAGCCGGGTTTGTTTTTGTTTTTTGGTAAGAAATGTAAAATAATTATTTCTTTTACACAATGAGATATTAACAAGAAATTAATGTGAGACCCACATCCTGAACCACACCCCCCTCACCATGAGCATTCGACACCTTAAAACATACATAAAAATAAAGCCTTACTCCTAAACTCGACAAACACCCTACATCCCGCACTCCACTTCCCAAACGACCAAACACAACACTGAACTACACAAAAAACTATGAACTAAATCTGAATGCTATACTTGCAATTATTTTATTTTCATTATAAACGTTTTATATTTTAATTTTTCAGAAGTAGGCCTATCTATATGTCGCAAGTTGGGTTTTTTTCCCAATAGATAAGTAAAAGAATAGTCCTTTTGCTTTTGCAATCATTTCTAAAAATTAAATTTACTTCTACCTAACGTAAACATAAGTTACAGGTGGAGAAAAGAACAAAGGGAAAATAAACCCCTTATTAATACGATTCTGTATACTTTTAAAAAGTATACCTTTATCAGTTTCGCGTTATCTATATATATAACTCTCTTCTGGGAGACGCTAGAAAACAAGCTGTAAACGCGCTCCCTACCATCCCCACCCCTACATGGTCTTAGTGAGCTGTGGTTCACGCTATGTTTACCTTCGTGGAGTCGGGTTTAGTGACGGCTATTAGGGGCAGATAATTTAGTTTGAAACGATTTTAAACGTTGGGGGGGGGGGGGGTGGGAGGGGAAGGAAGAGGGTGGGGGGGGGGGGGGGTTATGGTCCTTAACGAGCTACTTATAGTGTTTTAAAGAAATATTTTCAGTGTCCGCGTTGGTACTGTCGAATTCACAAATTATGAATTACTGAAAAGTAGAAAAAACAACAACTAAATAGCGGCGTATGTTATGCCGCGGGCCGCCTCGTTATATATAAACAATTACTTTTGCATTTATATTTTTAAAAAAGCATGTATATAAATTTATATATATATATATATATATATATATATATATATATATATATAATTGAATTATGCTGCGGATCGCGTATCTCTGACACCAAAACAATATAAGAAAATAATAGACTTCATCGTCATAGTGTCATACGTCTAAAGTGATCATTTTCTAAATTAATTATTTAAAAAATTAATATTGAAGGTGTTTTAAAACAACTTTTTGTTTTCAAACTTACAGTGATTATTGTCGGCATGTCCATCAAAAAATTTTTTTTTAAATGTTTCACCTTTCATAAAAATTCTAATTGTGTCTTTTACACTCCTTACGTCCCTTGATAAATTAGGAAAACACAATTACCTTCCGTTACTTTTTATTACTTTGTTTTGGTGTTGGGAAAAAAAATACATAATTAGCGGGGACTGATCAAGTGCAATGTGGTAGGTATTTTAAATACTGCCTTTTGTTTATTTTATACTCTGAACGAACTGTTTACTAATATTTTTTAATCAATAACAGTTAAGAAGCCAGCTCCTAAATGTCCTCTATGTTTACTTCTTTCCGTTTGCGGATAAGCTTGGGGTATTATTATTTTTCACTAAAGTGTAACAAGCTTGTTCGCCAGGTTCGATTTGGCGCCCTGGGCTATCCTGTGAGTAATACGGTGCATAATTTCGTTTTAAACTGTGCGATAGACTATTGATAAGAAAGGTTACTATAGTCTTAGTCTTTAAGTGAATCAAATCCGCGCGTCCTCCGGCGCCCAGACAGGGTGTTATTTAGTGCCCCGGGCCTTCCTGTGTTCGCTATGGCGCCTACGTTCATTTAAGTGATTGCAAAAGACTACGAATAAGTTGGGGTACTATAGTCGGTTATTTAGCTGAAACGCCTGCCACCCAGCATGGTGCGATTCGACGCCCCGGGCTAGACTGTGAGCACTTTTCGTTTGTTTGCGTTGTGTTTGCGTTTGTGGTTGGGTTTGTGTTTGCGTTTGAATTTGGATTTGGTTTGTTTTCGTTTGCCTTATTGTTTCCGTTTGGATTTTGTTTTGTTTGCGTTTGTGGTTGGGTTTGTGTTTGTGTTTGTGTTTGCGTTTGCGTTTGCATTTGTATTTGTATTTGTATTTGTATTTGTATTTGTATTTGTATTTGTATTTGTATTTGTATTTGTATTTGTATTTGTATTTGTATTTGTATTTGTATTTGTATTTGTATTTGTATTTGTATTTGTATTTGTATTTGTATTTGTATTTGTATTTGTATTTGTATTTGTATTTGTATTTGTATTTGTATTTGTATTTGTATTTGTGTTTGTATTTGTATTTGTATTTGTATTTGTATTTCAGCCAAATGTCCAACAATTTCAGCCAAATATCCAACAATTTCAGCCAAATGTCCAACAATTTCAGCCAAATATCCAATAATTTCAGCCAAATATCCAACAATTTCAGCCAAATATCCAACAATTTCAGCCAAATATCCAACAATTTCAGCCAAATATCCAACAATTTCAGCCAAATGTCCAACAATTTCAGGAGTCCAGAAGAAGCCTGGCTGAGCAGTGTCGAGACAAGGCTTGCCGCTAAAGCAGGGACTACAGAAACTTTAAATCTGCATCAGTTCACAGAGGCGCTCCAGATCAAAGAGGTAAATCTTCATCAGTTTCCATGGGCGCACATTTGAAGGTGGTTATTGTGTCAGCGCTTCAATAGAACCATCAACTCTAGATAATAATTTTGTCATCATTTCTTATAAAAGTTACAAATTAAAGAGGTTCCTTTTTAGCTGTTTTACCAAGCTACTCAGTGCCAATGTATGATGTGGTTTTATATTTTCCAACCTAATCAATGCCTGTTTTTGATGTGTTCACATCCAGTTTCGTATTGCCCAAACTGTGTCCTCATTATTCCCCAGTCATTTTTCGTTGAGCGCTGTTTCCAACTGTTTGACAAGGACCATGACGGAGAAGTCAACCTACAGAACCTAATCAAGGACTTGCGAGCTCTTGTCTTGTCCTCTCCAACCGAGAAGATCAGATTTCTGTTCAATGTTTACAATATTCGTGGTGAGGCAGTTTACTGTGTTTTAATTCTTCGTGATTTTTTTTCATTTCAAAATAGTAAATGGTAAACAATTTTGAACAATGTTATAGCTTTAGTTGCAAAATTGTTCGTACATGAAATAAGTTTTAGCTATAAATACTTGTTTTTATTATTTTGATCTTTACAATCGATTTTTTTTAATATATATAGCACATGTTTTAAAGTAGCCTATATTTACCAGTGTGCTAATAAATGTTAAATAAATGTCACTAAAATAGGTGTGCATGTCTAATAGGAGCAGTTATTAAACATTTAGTGTTAACAAAGTTTTCTACAAACAAAAATATTCCTTCTAACACATGCCTACGTATATTCCTTCTTATATACTTGCCTACGTCATGGACACAATATTCCTTCTTATATACTTGCCTACGTCATGGACACAATATTCCTTCTTATATAGTCCTACTTGCCTACGTCATGAACACAATATTCCCTCTAACATACGTGCCCACATCTTGAACACATTATTCCCGCTTACATTCTTGCCTACGTCATGCCTACGTATAGAAAAGATTGTAAACAAAAAAATTCGCATCACGTTTTTGCAGGTACAGGCAAGATTTGTAAAACTGAAGTTCACCAGGTCTTAAAAGCTGGCGTAGAAGAAAGTAAACTTCAGTTGAGTGAAGAGAATATCTTGGTCAGTTCATGTTCGCTTTTACGTTTGATGTATGAGTGTAAACGCATGCTTTCTTTGCTAAACCCCCCGCCCCTACATCGTAACGAAACGTCAGACCCCTCTCCTTTTCAAATAAAATAACAATTCAGATTTTCTTCATTCCCAGAATACTTTCATCCCTAAAGAGAAATGCATTTTTTAAATAGATTGTTAAAATGAAATATTAATTGATATGTTTCCCTACAATAAACGAATACAATCAGTTAATTACGAAATAATATAGCTACAGTTGACTATCTCTGCTTCATTTACTTGCTCATATGAAGGGTAAAAAAGAAGTTTTGTAATCGTGCTGGGTAAAACTGATATTTTTACAGTTTTCACAGTTTTACATCTCCTTATTTTATAATATGCGGAATGTTAAACATGTATTATAATCTATATATATTATTCTCTTCTGGGAGCCGTTAGAAAACAAGCTGCAAGCGCCTCCTTGCAGTCCCCTCTCTTTCTCTCTATCACTATCACTACCACCCCCACCCCACCCCCCACATTGTCTGGTGAGCTGTGGTCACGCTGTTTACATTTTACAATCATAGAGACGGGTTTGGTGACGGCTATTAGGGGCAGATAATTTAGTTTGAAACGATTTTAAACTTAGAAGGGGTAACTAAGAGGAGGCTGCTTTCACGTGGGGTGGGAGGGGGTTTAGTGTTTTTAAGCAAATATTTTCAGTGGCAGCATTGATACTGTCGAATTCACAAATTTTGAATTACTGAAAAGTAGAAAAAAAACAACTAAATAGCGGCGTATGATACGCAGCGGGTCGGCTCGTCTGATATATT